GCCCAGCCTCCTTCCAGAGAGACTCCCAGTGCCCGGCCTCCTCCCAGAGAGACAACCAGTGCCCGGCCTCCTCCCAGAGAGACAACCAGTGCCCGGCCTCCTCCCAGAGAGACTCCCAGTACCCAGCCTCCTTCCAGATAGACTCCCAGCCTCCCAGTGCCCGGCCTCCTTCCAGATAGACTCTCAGCCTCCTTCCAGAGAGACTCCCAACCTCCTTCCAGAGAGACTGACCGTGCCCAGCCTCCTTCCAGAGAGGCTCCCAGCCCCCCAGTGCCTTGCCTCCTTCCAGATAGACTCTCAGCCTCCCAGTGCCTGGCCTCCTTCCAGAGAGACTCCCAGCCTCCCAGAACCCGGACTCCTTCCAGGTAGACTCCCAGAGCTTGGCCTCTTTCCAGAGAGACTCCCAGCCTCCCAGAACCCAGCCTCCTTCTAAAGAGAGACTCCTGGCCTCCTTCCAGAGAGACTCCCAGCCTCCCAGAACCCGGACTCCTTCCAGGTAGACTCCCAGTGCTTGGCCTATTTCCAGAGAGACTCCCAGTGCCCAGCCTCCTTCCAGATAGACTCTCAGCCTCCTTTCAGAGAGACTCCCAGCCTCCTTCCAGAGAGACTCCCAGTGCTCGGCCTCCTTCCAGAAAGACTCCCATCTTCCCAGAACCCGGACTCCTTACAGAGAGACTCCCAGCCTCCCAGAACCCAGCCTCCCGGACTTCATCCAGAGAGACTCCCAGCTTCCCAGAACCCGGACTCCTTCCAGAGAGACTCCCAGCCTCCCAGTGCCTGGCCTCCTTCCAGAGAGACTCCCAGCCTCCCAGTGCCTGGCCTCCTTCCAGAGAGACTCCCTGCCTCCCAGTGCCTGGCCTCCTTCTAGAAAGGCTCTCAGCCTCCCAGTGCCCGGCCTCCTTCTAGAGAGCCTCCCAGGTGCTCCATCAATCTTGCCCTTCTCACAGTCTGACTTGGCCTCCTCTGTTAGGCTGTGCCTGGCTCTGACATTTGTCTGTCTCCATAATGACAGCATTGTGTGTTTACACTGAGTAATTCTGTCAGAGCTCCCACACTGCACATGGCAATCATTACCAACAGCTCACACTACACATGCCGATCACTACCAACCGCTCACACTACACAAAGCAATCACTACCAACAGCTCACACTACACATGCCGATCACTACCAACCGATCACACTACATATAGCGATCACTACCAACCGATCACACTTCATATAGCGATCACTACCAACAGCTCACACTACACATAGCGATCACTACCAACTGCTCACACTACATATAGCGATCACTACCAACTGCTCACACTACACAAAGCAATCACTACCAACAGCTCACACTACACATGCCGATCACTACCAACAGCTTACACTACACAAAGCAATCATTTTGCCACGATCAGACAGCAGTCAGTATATGGTCGGTCGTTATTAGAGTTTGGTCAGACAGCAGTCAGCATATGGTCGGTCGTTATTAGAGAGATTGATCAGACAGCAGTCAGTATATGGTCGGTCGTTATTAGAGTTTGGTCAGACAGCAGTCAGTATATGGTTGGTCGTTATTAGAGAGATTGATCAGACAGCAGTCAGTATTTGGTCGGTCGTTATTAGAGTTTGGTCAGACAGCAGTCAGTATATGGTCGGTCGTTATTAGAGTTTGGTCAGACAGCAGTCAGCGTATGGTCAGTCGTTATTAGAGAGATTGATCAGACAGCAGTTAGTATATGGTCGGTCGTTATTAGAGTTTGGTCCGACAGCAGTCAGCGTATGGTCAGTCGTTATTAGAGAGATTGATCAGACAGCAGTCAGTATATGTCGGTCGTTATTAGAGTTTGGTCAGACAGCAGTCAGTATATGGTCGGTCGTTATTAGAGTTTGGTCAGACAGAAGTCAGTATATGGTCGGTCGTTATTAGAGTTTGGTCAGACAGCAGTCAGTATATGGTCGGTCGTTATTAGAGTTTGGTCAGACAGCAGTTAGTATATGGTCGGTCGTTATTAGAGTTTGGTCAGACAGCAGTTAGTATATGGTCGGTCGTTATTAGAGTTTGGTCAGACAGCAGTCAGTATATGGTCGGTCGTTATTAGAGTTTGGTCAGACAGCAGTTAGTATATGGTCGGTCGTTATTAGAGTTTGGTCAGACAGAAGTCAGTATATGGTCGGTCGTTATTAGAGTTTGGTCAGACAGCAGTCAGTATATGGTCGGTCGTTATTAGAGTTTGGTCAGACAGCAGTTAGTATATGGTCGGTCGTTATTAGAGTTTGGTCAGACAGCAGTTAGTATATGGTCGGTCGTTATTAGAGTTTGGTCAGACAGCAGTTAGTATATGGTCGGTCGTTATTAGAGTTTGGTCAGCGTTACAGAGTGATATTATAGTGAGTAGTATAGTGAGCCCTGGAGAAAGCTTCTTGCATGCTGGGAGTGGAATGTTCTGCGCTGATCCGGACAATGGGCACATTCCATTCGTGCTGGGATGGTGAGAAGATGGTCCCATGTATCCATGACAACAGTCTTCAAGGAAAGGGGCCCCTTCAGGCCTCTCCAGAGAATAGTACTGAGAGAAGTGGACTGGTTTTAGGACCCACATAGAGGGGTGCAGTAATACACAAGGTGTCAGTGCAGTGTTAGTTTTGGTGGCAAATTTTATTTTAGTTTTAGTCGTAGTTTTTTGGTTAAAAAACATTTCAGTTTTAGTTGTATTTTGGATATCTTAATTGTTTTAGTTTTAGTCGTATTTTGGTAGAGTAAACTTGTTAGTGAACATTGTGTCAGTGTGTTACGTTTGCAATGATCGCTATAGAACTTCAATTCATTTTACTAGATTTAGAATATCGTTCTATGTGGTCTGAGCGAGCGCAGGGAAATCCCAAACCATAAATCCCTGAGGCCGTAATTTGAATATCACTGCCAAGTACAAACTGTTTTTCTGTGTATGTGGGTGGTGGTTGCTTCTACAGAACCCACGTGGCCGTGACCTGTGGAAAAGTGGGAGGAAGCCATTTTACAGGGGCTGGTGCAGCCTGTTTTGACGTTCCTTCAAGGTAAGACACCCAACACACATAGTTACAGGTCCGCCAACATGCTATTAGAAAGCAGATAAAACAGGCCCGTAGTGTATTACTGCTTAAAGGGACACGGTAACCACTTCATCTCACTGAAGTGGTTATAGTGTCTGGAATTTCATGGTGCCATCCTTCCATACAGAGTTACACTGTGTTTAATAATTAAATGCTAATCGAGCGGCCCTTCCCTTCTGTATTGCTTCGGCTAATGACTCAAGGTTACCCTGAGCAGCCATGGGGGGCTGTGATTGGCTGAGAATGTTAATAATCGGTATGGTTAGAATGAAATGCCTAAGCCAGTGGCGTACATACCGGGGTCGCGGCTGCAACCGGGCCCGGCCCACCAGGAGGCCCGGCCGCCCTGCAAACCGGTATGTACGCCTGGGGGCCCAGGAGCTGTCCACCTCAGGGCCCCCCGAGGCTGGCCCTGGTGTCACCGGGCGCCCAATGTCATATTCCGGCTCCGGCATCAGTAAGCGGCGCGCGAGGGAGCTGAACAGGAGGACCTCAGTGCTCCCTCGCGCGCCAGCAGGACCGGCCGCCCAGCAACACCACTGGACCCCAGGGAATCCCCTCAGCACTCCCAAAGGTAGGGAAGCTGGGCGATCACTTTTTTTTAAAAACATGTATATGTGTGTTAGTTTTTGTGTCAGTGTGTGTGTTACTGTGTGTGTGTCTGCTAGTGAGTGTCAGTGTGTGTGTCAGTGAGCTTGTTACTGTTGTCTGTTACCGAGTGTGTTAGTTTGTGTGTGTTTGTTAGTAAGTCTGTTTGATGTCTGTTAGTTAGTGTGTGTTTGTCAGTGAGAGTGTATGTTTTGTAAGTGAGTGTGTATGTGTGTCTGTCTGTCAGTGAGTGTGTATGTCTGTATGTCGCTGAGTGTGTCTCTGTCAGTAAATGTGTGTGTCTGTAAGCTAGTTTGTATGAGTCTGTTCGTGAGAGTGTGTGTGTTTAAAACCCCTTCAGCACTTACCTTTCTCCAGCGCCGGACTTCCTTGGTGCTGGGGATCCCTCCACCCTGATCCGCCTCTCAGCTCCGAATGCGCATGTGCGCGCATTCAAACCGCCCATAGGAACGTCCAGCATCTTCTCACTGTGATTTTTCACAGTGAGAATCGCAGAAGCGCCTCTAGCGGCTGTCAATGAGACAGCCACTAGAGGCTGGATTAACCCTCTCTGAAACTGCTATGTTTTCAGCTGCAGGGTTCAAACTAGAGGGACCTGGCACCCAGACTACTTCATTGAGCTGATGTGATCTGGGTGTCTGTAGTGGTACATACAGGGGTCGCAGCCATGTGTTGTGGCCCCGGTCCGCGCGGGGATATGGGGGGGCCCACGGATCAATTTTTGCACTGGGGCCCCATGGGTCGTGTGTACGCCACTGGCCTAAGCCACACCTCCATTGGGGGCAAAATAGCAATTAACGATCCGATTTAAAGCCAGAAGATCCAAACTCGCTGTAGGCGCTCTCTCGAGTACAGAATATCACAATAGGACACAGGACTGCAGGAAAGATGGAAGGAGATACGGTGGTGCCAATATAAAGCCAGAATGTGAGTGCATAACTCTGTATTATGACATCAAACTGGGAATTATAAATAGACATCCAACGAGACCATCATAAGAACAGGACAACACGCCTGATCACTAATAGTAGCGGGGGGACCGACGCCGGGGCCTGGCCCGAAGCAACAAAGACCCTTCTTCATACCCCTCCCCCCCCTTTTTTTTCTTAGCTCTTCCTTACTCTCTCCTGCTTCTGCCCCCCTCCCCCCACACACACATTTCATGCCCATTCCTTAATGTATCACCCACCTGTTATGTTCTTCATAAACAGTAGCCACAACACCGGACAGTAATGCATATCCGACCAAACTTGACAGACACAGACTTGGCTGCTAGATACGTGTCATTTCTCCTTCCCGAGAAACTCACAGTGATGGAAATGCTGAACTGAAACGTAAATAAATGAATGAAAGACAACACATCAGTGACCTCTTCCTAGGAGAGGGTCAGTGGGAAAGAGTACAGGGCGTCTTTCATGTCCACCACTTTTGTTTTGCACGTTTAGGTAGCACTATGCACACTTACATTGAGTTTGTACTGGAGGGACCTTGGTTTAGGTAGGCACAAGCCCAGTGCGGCACCGTGGTATTTTAGGGGCGGCCGTGGTTGTTTAGGTGGATTTAAGGGACTCGAATATCTATACTTATCCATAGCCCCTATTAGTTTGGCTTCCCCTTAGTGGGTTACCGGTAGGAGCTTTATGGATTAGGTTGTACCATCTCTTTCCACCTCCCTTATCTCTATTTTGCCAGTGGTGTATTTATACTTTTTGGGGTAAGCCTCTCTCTCCTTTTTCTTGTTTCTCCAATGAGTTTCTATACCCTCTCTGGTGTCATTGAGAGGACTCTAGATAAAGTCTGTCTCCATCTCAGGATCCCTCTATTCTATTAACTTCTGACCTAACACTTTGAGTTTGGCTATATTGATAGGAGTTGGTTATTCCATTCTATCCCTGGAATTGTATGTCCACAAGAGTAGAATTTTACCTGACACTTTTTATATCAAGAGTCCCTCTAAGGATTTAGTGGCTCAATCTTTTGGATATTAATAAATGTTGGATTTTATTTTGTTTGGCTAGTAATCCATTAGACTGTACTCTTTCCCACTGACCCCCCTCCTAGGAGGAGGTGACTGGGATCTTGTATTTGATTCATTTATTTACGGTAAGTGTTTAAGGGCTACCCCCTAATAGTGAGTACAGTCTAGGTGACCTCCCTAGTGCCGGTGCAAAGGTTTTTGGCTACACAGGCGAAGATGCATTTTGCCTCCCCCCAAATAAAAATGCATCTTCACCGGTGTCTCATAAACCCCCTTTTGAATTTTGAGGCAGGGCCAGACGCAGAGCCAGAGCTAGAGAAAGGGCCAAAGCCAGAGGCAGAACCAGAGTGAGAGGCAGAGCCAAAGGCAGAGGCAGGGCCAGAGCCAAAGGCAGAGGCAGGGCCAGAGCCAAAGGCAGAGGCAGGGCCAGAGCCAAAGGCAGGGCCAGAGCCAGAGCTAGAGGCAGAGCCAGAGCCAGAAGGAGAGGCAGAGCCAGAGGCAAAGCCAGAACCAGTGGCAAGGCCAGAGCCAGAGGGAGGGCCAGAGGTAGAGTTTGAGGCAGGGCAAAAGCCAGAGGGAGGGGCAGGGCAAGAGCCAGGGCCAGAGGTAGAGGCTGGGCCAGAGGCAGGTCTAGAGGCATGGCTAGTGCTAGAGGCAGGGTCAGACGCAGAGCCAGGGCCAAAGTCAGAGGCAGGGCTACAGTCAGAGGCAGAGCTAGAAGCAGAGCCAGAGCTAGGGCCAGAGGCAGAACCAGAGGCAGAGGCAGAACCAGAGGGAGAGCCAGAGGCATAGCCAGAGCCAGAGCTAGAGGCAGGTCCAGAGGCAGAACCAGGGCCAAACGCAGAGCCAGAGCTTGAAGCAGAGCCAGAGGCAGGTCCAGGGGCAGAACCAGGGCCAAAGCCAGGGGCAGGGCCAGAGGCAGGGGCATGTCCAGAGCCAGAGGGAGGGCCAGAGCTAGAGGCAGGGCTAGAACCAGAGCCAGAGGCATGTCCAGAGCCAGAGGAAGGTCCAGAGGCAGGACCAGGGCTAGAGTCAGGGCCAGAGACAGAGGCAGAGCTAGGGCCAGAGCCAGAGCCAGAGCCAGAGGCAGGAGATTCGGATATTTGTGTCCCCTGTTCTGGCGCCCTAAGACGGCCGCCTGTGCTGCCTTATGGACGCTGTAGCAAACTCGCCCCTTTTAAAGAGTTTGCCATGAGCTTTTAGAGGGGCTTGCTTGCCCGCCTCCTATTTTGACTCGGCTCACGTACCTAGACTATCCTAATATCTGGTTTCCTGACTCTGCTTATATACCTTGTTTTTGTGATTTCTGGCTCCTTCGACCCTGGCTTGTTCTTGACTATTCTCTAGCTGTCTAACGTAGAGTCCGGTCACTCTAAGGTCCAGTATACGTTTTTCTATTACATCCTGTGTGTTGGGTCTTAATGGAGTCTTGACAGCTAGCTAGCAGGCTCCTCCAGGAGCTTGTGGCGAAGGCAAGTTCGTCACACGTAGATTTTTCCATGAGATAATGGAAAGCCTTCAGATGAAGTGGGGAGTTAATTAGGAAGTGTCGTATTTTGGCTATTCTGTCATTTATGAGACATGAGGCCAACAAAGTGATGATTCTGTAGGATGGCTTCATTCTGTTTGGGTTGTTGACTGTCTGTTCTGAAGACAGCATCAGCTTTTAAACTTTTTTATCCAGGACGGTAGGTGATATTAAATAAAAAGCGTGAAAAGAACACAGCCCACCTGGCTTGACGGGGATTGAGATGTTTAGCTGTTCGGATGTATTCTAAGTTTTTATGGTTGGTATAAATAGTTATGGGGAATTTAGCACCTTCCAGGAGATGTCTCCATTCTTCGAGTGCTGTTTTGATAGCCTGTAGTTCTTTATCTCCCACATTGTAATTGGATTCATCCTCTGTCAATTTATGAAAGTAAAAGTCTATTGGGTGTAATCGCCCAGTTGAGCTGTCTCTTTGTGATAAAACTGGCCCTGTAGCTGAGTCAGATGCATTGACTTCCAGAAAGTACGTTTTTTTTACTGGATCAGGTAAATGAAGAATGGGTGCAGTGGTGAATAGGACTCTTAGATCCAAAAACTCTTGTGGTGTAGCGCTATATTTAAATAGAAGGGTAGTGATAAAAAGCTTGATATATATCAATACTACCTTGAATATTCCTTATGTCTTTATATTCACATAAGAGTATAAATTCTACAAGACATAAAAAACAGACAAACCAAACATAGTGCAAACTGTATAATAAAATCCGTTATAGAGAATTAAGAAGGGAAAATTTCCCACTCACAATTTTAGGAGCTAATATGAAATAGCTCAATATCTGCGCTCTTGGGGTCCGTAAAGGCGACCCTCACCCTTCTTGTGTATAGATGTCCTTGATTTCCTATGGAAGTAGAAACCGTATATGGTGCAGTATCGTAATAATTTTCAATGTGAGATAAATATAAAATGTAATACTCACAAAATTAGAGCCATCCAGATCGGCTCTAATCCACACACTTGTGTAGTTAAGGACTACACACCTTCTTTGTAAAAAATAAATAAAAAGTAGCAGGGAAATGCCAATGTATAATATAAAAGATTAATAATTTTATTGTAACGGTAATTGTATAAAAATATATATATATATATATATATAAAAAAAACAATAAAAAACAATATCAAATTGGCATAAAATCCAAAAGTCCAAAGTCTCACAGTCTCTCCAGTACGCGTTTTGCCTTACAGGCTTCCTCAGCTGGATGTGGTGATTCAAACTTCCCATGGATCCTCCCTGCTATATGTACCCCTCTCAGGGGTAAGATAATTAGTGTCCAGGCTTGTATTTTCGCGGGCAATCACCATAGAGATGGTGACGCCCTGCGTTTCAAGCCTTTTTTTTTGTTTATTTCCGGGTTTTCTGTTCCGTCGCGTCATTTCCGGTTTCGCCGATACGTCACTTCCTTGCGTTCCACCATGCGGTTCACTATGCGTTCCACCATGCGGTTCACCATTTATTTCCCCAGGATTTCCGGGTCGGCGGTTTTTGAGGGGAAATATAAGTTTAAATGAGTTTAACATATATGTGGAATTGGCAAGCTTTCTTTATCCAACATATACAAGCCTTATATTAGTACATCCAAACCCTTCTATTCCTATTTCTTATACAAGTGTGTTAATACAAGATGACCATTTTACAGGCATATTGTGATCTTATGTCATTGTTAAAAAGATGAATTCTTAAGAGATAATAGATATTAATAAATGAATCAGTTGTTATACAACATTTAAAAGCCTTATAAATGTCTAATTCCAGATATTATCTTAATATAATATATAGTAAAAGTTGAAACATAGTCCAGTCAATGCTCACATAGTAGTAAGAAAGTGAGAAAAAAAAAAGGGGAAGAAGGTCATAATTCAATAAAGGGAGGTATAAGTGCAACCATAAAATAATTTTGCATTTATTTTAAAAAATGGCACATCTCGAAGTCTGCATTTAGACCATTCGGGATTAAAGTATTTAATTTAAAGATCCACTCCATCTCAATTTTACTCATTTTGCTGTCAAAGTTGCCTCCCCTCCAATCCTTTTTGACTTTTATAATTCCTAAAAACGTAGTGTCTTTCATGTCGCATTTATGTGCAATTTTATAGTGTAAAGAGACGCTATGTTTTTCAAAACCTTTTAAAATGTTACGACTATGTTCTTCAATTCTGATATGTAGGGGTCTGGTGGTTTTCCCTATATAGCATAGACCACAAGGGCAGATCATTAAGTAAATGAGGTTTTTTGAGTGGCAACTCAGAAAATCTTTAATTTGATATTCTTTACCATCTTTATCTCTAAAAAGCTTTATATGCCTTTTTTTATTATTAGACCTTTTGCACGCTAAGCATTGGCCACACCCAAAAAATCCCTTATCCGAATTTAAAAAAGTATTCGTACTTTTCTTTTCCTTTAAAAAGCTTGAAGTCAGAGAATGGCGTAAATTGTCAACCCCTCTGTGTATAAATTTAGGTCTTTCTGGAAGAAAAGGTTTTATACCTGGATCTTGTAATAAAATAGGCCAGAACTTAGAGATTATTTTTCTCACTTTTTTGTTATCTGTGCTAAAGTTGCATATAAAAGGGAGTTCCATAGATGTATTTTCCCTTTTATCCTTATATTTCAAAAGTTTCTCTCTTTCTGTCATCCTTACTTCTTTCCTGGCCATTTCTAATTTTAACTCTTCGTATCCTTTCTCTATAAAGTCTTCTTTAATTTTAATAGATTGGGTCTCAAACACAGTTAGATCCGTACAATTACGCCTAATACGTAAAAACTGTCCTCTGGGGGCATTCTCAAGCCACGGAGAGTAGTGGCAACTTTCTCTCTCTATGTAGCTATTAGCTTCTACCGTCTTAAAATAGTTTCTATTTTAATCTTGTTTTCTTCAATGTATATTACTAAATCTAAAAAAATTATTTCCGTCTTGCTCCAATTGCTACTGAGCGTTATACCCCAGGTATTCTCATTTAAAAAATTTAAAAATTCAATAAGATCTTTTTCTTCTCCTTTCCATACAAAGAAAATATCGTCAATGTAACGACCATAGGTAACCAAGCTTTCCCCCCAGCCATGAGTGCCATAAATAAACGTAATTAGCTAATTGGACAGACCAACCTTTAACTAGAAAAAGAACGAGCTATAACTTTTGCTGTGAACAATTAGAAAAAGCCTTACAGAAGGAATTAAAGATAAAGTGGGAAATAGCTACCTTAGAAAAATACTTAAAAGAAGGTATTACTCCAAGAGGCTTGAGATATTTCAAAACTCCAACGTTTGATAAAGACATTGCTAAATTCATGGAAGAATGGAATTCCATGTTGGAGAACTTTTCCATTACCTCTATGAATTTAATAATAAAAAGGAGAAAGGAAAATTTAAGAGAATTAGATTTAGAGATAAACAAATGTCAGAATGAAATTTTAAATGCTCTGAATCAAGAGGAATATGATAAAACTACACAGGATATTAAAGATGGTTTAGAGAAACTAGAAAAAGAAGTAATAGAGGTAAAAAAAAGTAAATATCTGAGAGACATCAATGACTATAAAACGGAACAAGTGAGAACATTTTCAAAATATAATAACAAAGGGGGCGTGGCCTGACAGCCGACGGAAATGGCCGCATGAGCGCGAAGCTCCAGACCCAGACCGGGTAATCAGGGGGGCAAACGGCACTTACTGAAAGCAATGGCATCCAAAAAACACCGCAGCACCGCGGGGCAAGCTCCTGCCTCCGAAACACCGGCAGCCAAAACCTCCCTGCGGCGCTTTTTCGGCGATCACACGGAAGCACACAGACGGGACAAAATGGCGCCCGCGGCACAAACGCGAGGCAGCCAGCCCCCGAGTCCAACAACATCAGATGAGCCCACAGAGGAACAAGATATACGGTCCTTGCTGACCCAACTACCCTCCAAGACCGACCTGGCAGCCTTATTTCAGAAACTGGAGGACAGCTTTAGTGAGAAGCTACAGGCTGTTAATGCAGACGTGCAGCTGCTAGGGGACAGAGTCCAGGCTCTGGAAGAAGAGGCAGAAACTACTGAAAAACAATGGGCTGAGTCCTATGCTACCCAGGAGACACACGCAGAGGCAATCAGGTACCTGCAGAGACAGCTTGAAGATGTAGATAACAGAGGACGCAGGAATAACCTGAGGGTGAGAGGTGTCCCTGAGAGTGCAGAAGGGGTCCCAGAAAACCCCGTGCAGGTGCTGACAGCCCTTTTCAACCGCATTTTAACCAGACCACTGGACACTGCCATTTTATTTGATAGAGCCCACAGAGCGACCAGACCTAGGAACCTGCCTCCAGATAAACCACGGGACATTATATGTCGCATACATAACTTCCCCCTAAAGGAAGAAATCTTCCACAAAGCCCGACAGAACAAGGATATCAAGATCGACGGACACCCGGTGATCGTCTTCCAGGACCTAGCGCCATCCACGCTGCAAGCAAGGCGTGCACTACGACCTATCACACAGGCCCTGTCCGAGAGAAATATCAAATTCAGATGGAGCTTCCCGTTCGCTCTCACAGTTACGCTCCAAAACAAAACGCACACTATAACCTCACCAGACGACATACCTGAACTCCAAAGAGCCTTGAATCTACCGTCGTCCGAGGTGGAGGATTGGACGGGCCTGAGAGGCACATCAGCGGGACGGACTCCGCACAAACCTAAGTGGCAAAAGTCCCCTCGAAAACGTCGTAGACAGAACCATCCCGGAGCAGACGCAGCACCGACATGAGCAGTACACGGTCGTATGATCAGACTCTCTCTCTTTCTCCTATCTACCATTTTCTCTCTTAATCCGCCCATGCGGGTATCCACTGCGGTACACCCAGTGAATGGACTGACATTACTTTCCCACTGTGATGCAAATATTGAAATGTTATATTGTGTTAAACTTGGTTATGCCTTTATGAATAACATGTTACATTGCCGTTACCGGGCCCTAGAATTCACGAGGAAAATATAAGGTTAACTTTCCCATCAGGGCCTCAAACGGCCGGGCTCACAGGGCACACTCTACTCCCTAGCCGACGCACACCTCTGACCTCCCTGGCTAGGGTAGAGGAGGTAGGCTGTATCACTTCTACAACGCCCTGTGAGACCCCCCCCCCTCCCCCCCCCTATGATACACCCGGTCGGGTGCTCCGGCCACCACCCCCCAGAGAGGCGCCACAACCCCACTTGTGGACACAGCGAGTTATCCACAAGTGTAGCGCCAATCTCAACGCCAGAGATGGCTCTCATCTACTGTTTTAATGTACATAGTTTACAGTTATCCCCTGTCCACCCCCCACCAAACACCCCTGCCGCTACTATCGTACTAAAGGTACTACCGACAGGTGCTCCCCATGTCCTATTTGAGACACTCTCACCACCGTTCCTACCACCATGACTCAAACCAAACTGATGTCCCTAAATGTTAGGGGTCTCAATTCACCCATGAAACGCACAATGCTAGCACAGGAGATCGATAGACGAGGTGCCGAAATAATTTTCGTGCAGGAGACGCATTTC